ACCAAGTGGGGGCTCCTGCAGGAGCAGAAGAGCCCCCGCAGCAACATCGGCCCCCTCTTCGAGTCCTACATCGGGAACCTGCGGCGCCAGCTGGACGGGCTGCTGGGGGACAAGGGGCGGCTCGAGGGGGAGCTCAAGAACATGCAGGACCTGGTGGAGGACTTCAAGAACAAGTAACGTGTCCCCACCGCCCCCCCCCAGACCCTCACCCCGGGGTGCTTTCCCAGACAAAAATTGGGGGGGGGGGGAGGATGTTTTCAGGGCTGGAAGTGGAAAGTTTGGGGTCTCCTCAGGGATGGAAGTGACATTTGGGGTCCCCTTGGTGTTGGAAGTGACATTTGGGGTCTCCTTGGTGTTGGAAGTGGAGTTTGGGGTCTTCTTGGGGCTGGAAGGGGAGTCCGGGGTCTCCTTGGTGTTGGAGGTGGAGTTTGGGGTCTCCTCAGGGCTGGAAGAGGAACTTTGGGGTCTGTCAGGGCTAGAAGTGGAGTTTGGGGTCTCCTTGGGGCTGTAAGTGAAACTTTGGGGTCTGTCAGGGCTGGAAGTGGAATTTGGGGTCTCCTCAGGTCTGGAAGGGAAACTTGGGGGGTCTCCTTGGTGTTGGAAATGGCATTTGGGGTCTTCTCAGGTCTAGAAGTCACATTTGGGGTCTGTCAGGGCTGGAAGTGGAGTTTGGGGTCTGTCAGGGCTGGAAGTGGAGTTTGGGGTCTGTCAGGGATGGAAGGGAAACTTTGGGGTCTCCTTGGTGTTGGAAGTAGCATTTGGGGTCTTCTCAGGTCTAGAAGTCACATTTGGGGTCTGTCAGGGCTGGAAGTGAAACTTTGGGGTCTCCTCAAGGTTGAAGTAGAGTTTGGGGTCTCCTCAGGGCTGGAAGAGGAACTTTGGGGTCTCCTCAGGGCTGGAATTGAAACTTTGGGGTCTCCTTGGGGCTGGAAGTGTCATTTGGAGCTGCAGGAGCCCCGTGGGTCCCACAGGTTGGGAGGTGATCCCCGTTTTTTCCAGGGGCAGGGAATGGAACAGGTTGGGGGGGTTATCCATGGGCAGGGAACAGAGCAGGCTGGAGGGTTATCCTGGCTCATTCCAGGTGATCCTGGCTCATTCCAGAGGCAGGGATGGAGCAGGTTAGCGGGTGAACCCAGGAATGGAGGAGGTTGGAACTTGGGATCGTTCCAGCTGATCCCAACCCATTCCAGGTGATCCCAACCCATCCCAGCTGATCCCAGCCGGTTCCAGGGACAGGGAATTGAACAGCTGGCAGGTGATCCCGGCTCATTCCCTGATCCCAACCCCATTCCAGGCGATCCCAGCCCGTTCCATGGACAGGGAACGCAGCCCCTCCCCGGCCATTTCCCACCCCCTTTTTCCCAGCCCCGGGAGGAGCCCCGGGAAGAAAAGGCCCTTTGTCCCAGCCCGGAGCAGCGGGAAGGGAACAATGGGAGGCACCGGGAGAACTGGATGGGGCAGGAACCGGGAACAAAGAGCCCCGGAAAAGCCCCGGGGCGGGGCCGGGGAGCGGCGATCCCGGAGATTCCCGAAGAACCCCCTCGGGAAGGGGGATTTTCCATCCACAGCCTGAGCTGTTTGTTCGATCCCAGGGGAGTTAAATCCCAGATTTGATCCCGTTTCCCCTGGATTTGAGGTTATATCCAATGGGCTTATTTATTTATTGTATCCATGAAAAGCCAAACCCTCGGGAGAAGGGAAGCGGGAATTCCTCGGGTGGGTTTGGGGGAAGTCAGTGCCCGGATTCCACAATTCTGGAGCCAGGCTGGGAGAGCTGGGAATGTTCCCTTGGAGAAGGGAAAGATCCAGTTCCGGCCTGGAGGAATTCCCTGAGGGATCTGGAGGAATTCCCTGAGGGATCTGGAGGAGTTCCCTGAGGGATCTGGAGGAGTTCCCTGAAGGATCTGCCCCTTCCATTCCTGAGGAATTCCCTGCATTTCCCCCCTCCATCTCTGCTCATCCCTGGTCTCCACAGGCTCCACATTCCCGGGATTTGTTCCATTCCCGGGATTGTTCCATTCCCGGGGTTTGTTCCCTGCGGTTCCTCGACCTCCAGAGGGACAAACCCCGGGAAAGGGAAGGGAAGGGAAGGGAAGGGGGAGGAGCCCCGAGGGGGGAAGGAGCTCCCTTGGAAGGCAAATTCCAGGGATTGTGTAAACAAAGGGCTTTGCCCTGGAAACGGCCCTGCCAAAACAAACAGGGGGAGGGAAGGGGAGAGGGAGGGAGGGAAGGGGAGAGGGAGGGAGGCAGGGAAGAAGGGAGGGAACACCTGGAGATCTTTTGGGGAACATTTGAGGATCTTTAGGGGAACCTTTGGAGATCTTTAGGGGAACTTCTGGAGATCTTTAGATGAAGACCTTCAGGTGAACATCCTAAAATCTTTAGAGGAACACCTGGAGAGCTTTAGGTGAATACCCGAAATCTTTAGGGGAACATCTGGAGATCCTTTGGGGAACATTTGGGGATCTTTAGGGGAACATCTGGAGATCTTTAGGGGGACTCCTGGAGACCTTCAGGTGGACATCCCAAAATCTTTAGGAGAACATCTGGAGATCTTTAGAGGAACATCTGGGTATCTTAAGGTGAAATCTGGAGATCTTTAGGGGGACTCCTGGAGATCTTTTGGGAAACACCTGGAGATCTTTAGGGGAACATTTGGGGATCTTTATGTGGCCACCCAAAAAAGCTCCCAAAAAAACGGAGGGAGAGAGAAGAGAATTGGGACAGCCCTTCCTGGGGACGCTTTTCCCTTTATCCAGGCTCTGATTTCATGGAAATCCCCCCCTTTTTTTTTGGCAGGTACGAGGATGAGATCAACAAGCGGGCGGCGGCCGAGAACGAGTTCGTGGTGCTCAAGAAGGTGGGCCAGGGGATTTTTTTGGGATGCTTTGGGTGGGA